TATAATTTACACTGCAGCGTGTTTGACGGCCGATGAAAGCGTACTTGCAATAGTGTAGCAAAATTTTCTAATAAACAAATGTTTTATGACAAAAATAACTTGTGTGACGATCGCAGTGCACTAAGGCTCTCATTTATGCACGTAGTAGCGTGATTTTAAAAGCTTAATATTGCAGCTTTTGTCTCTATCGAAATTACATGTAAATGAATTCCCGGAAAAAGAGTAAAAGACCGACGTTCCGTCACCACCTGACTGTATTTGCATCCAATCTCATCAATAATATGAGCCGCATGAAACTTTCAACGATGTTTGCTTCGAATGAAATCGCGTGAACGAATTCATAAGAAGGCGCCTCGGCGCCTCCATTAATTGACGAGCAAATTTCCTCGGGAACTTTTGTCGCCGCTGGCTGGAAGGTCAGAGTCTTGCGGTTCCTTGAAAACGCGAAAACCTGTTGCAGTTCCGAAAGTCGTCGAAGTATCATTCGGTAAAAAGCACCGCCCTTTTCGTCGAGACGAGTTCAGTTTTGTTGAAGGGGCGTTTGGGATGAATTCCTTCTCTTGAACATCCCAACGAGAACCGTCAAATGCGAATGAGGGGAATCCATGTTTTTGTCAGACCGACTACCATTAGGTCGAAGGTCCGTGTTCCTGACGATCGTTGATTTTCCTGCGAATCTTTGGTATTATCTGTAGAATTACCTGACCCTTATGTAGTAACAAAGTATGCTCCTTAGATCTATTTCATTTGAATTGAAGAATTAAGGGATTCTGGGGAAATCGATTTCTTTCGCCAATTTACGCTGACGATTTTTATCAGTACTGCGGTTTAAAATAAATAATTCAATAGCATAATGGGCAATGATTTTTAATATATTGTAATATTGTATTCTGCAAAATGCAATTTTGTTTAATAAAAATTTAATTTAATACATTAAAAATATTTAATATTGAAAATTATAGATATGTATGAATATTATATGTTCTTCAAAGAAAAAGATATCAATCAGATATCAATATATTTATTGAATTATTTCATTGTTTATTTATTTTATGTTTTTTTTGCAGATATAATAATATTGCAAGCGTGTAATACATTTATAAAATTATTCTGCATTTATGAATCTAAAGAAGGATTATCAAATTCAAGCGTAGCGTTCATGATTTCAACGCATTGTCTCGATGGAATTTTCTTAATTAATTTGCAGGTTTAGCATTCCTGACTGTCACCACCAGCTGCGTTTCCGGATTTTGCAGCATCTCGCATCTCTTCATGCCACTGACGGTTTTTCACTCGTATGAACAAGCGATTACGGTGGTGATGTTGATAGCAGTGGTTTCTATTGAGAACAACGGAATAGATTTAACAAGTTGATTGTTCCTGAATAAACGAATAGATATTTGCTATCGCGGAGGCAATTTGTATAAACTTCAAGCAATTTATACGAACTTGAATCAATCGATACAAAAGTAATAACGTGTGAAACCGTCCAATGTACGAATCGAGATTGATGTGAGGTGAACAGCGGGTTAATAGGCATTTTGCCCTTTGGCTGTTTCAGACTTTGTTCGTGAAGACTGATGTATGTCGAGCTTCATTTGTAAGTTCTCCATGAGAATATCTTAAAATCATTTATCAGTAGTACATTTAAACATATGAATGCGAAGCGTACACTAACTTGAGTTCAGGATATATGTACTATAATTTATCTTATTGTTACTTTCATGAATGTATCTCACAAAGCATTTGGACATATGTTGGACAGTTTATTGAATTTAACGGATAATTAATTTAACAACGTATAACATGACAGCGCTTTTAATAAAAAAATATTTTTTTTGTATTTTTTGTATCCATATATATTTGATTGTACTCGACGATAATATTTTTCTCAGATAACGTTTTTCAATAATATTTTTCTCGCCAGTGCCGTCGTATATCCGGCTGCAAATTAATTTTTTGCCGTAACGTGTAACGCTTTCGCTTAATTAATATGTATACTCGGAAGGATAGGCTGAGATTGAAATGCGGTCGTATAATTGTTATATCACGTGCGCGATTATATATAAATGGAAGTTGGTCGGCGCCATTGGTATTTTGCTAATTAGCGTCGGTGATTAAGAGGGAAACTGGAATTCCTCCTAGCCGACTGCACTATATCCCAGGGTTGACATTACGGTTATGCGATGTCGCGTGGGAACCTTAGGTCTCTTATGATGTGGAACTTAGTTAAAATCGCACACTCAAAGATTAGTTCCGGAATTTCAGTAGGAAAGGGTTACGGCGTCTTCTACCCGCGACGGTTGGTTTATATTATACCTAGCACCACTGAAGCTAAACTGCTTCTGCTGCCGGATAACATGCATTTAACTGAAACTATAATTCGATATAGTTTCCTGACGATTAGAAAGTTCACCGTGAACATATCCACGGCTGACTACACTTCAGTAATTTGGATACACGGATTAAGCGATCATTAACCGGAAACATGAGCCCGTGTCAATGTTTAGACTGATGCAGTTTATTAACGAGATTAATAAAGAATTTGTGATGCGAATAAATTTCATCAGAAATAAAAAAATCGATGCAATATTGTTGATGATTATTATAAAATTACTCAATTTTTTTGAATACAGAAAAATACAGAAGTTACATAAGCCAGTTTTTAAAATATTAAACAATCCTTTTCTTCACGATTAAAAATTAACTCTCTCACGCATATATTTGGGATTACTATTTAATATTTAAAAAATATTACATTTACATTGCATCTATACACATAACATAATAAAAATTTTACATTTAATTCCAGAAGTTAATGCTCGATATTATGGCGATAATTCGAATAGCTTATAAATGATAAATTTTGACTAAGGCACATGCACACATATTAATAAATAAAATATTACTATTTTGATAAAAAATATTATTCTTGTATTTTTTTTATGAGGCAATTCGCAAGTCTGTCCCGATTTCATATTCTTTATCTCGGCATTCAATATTTACGCAAATAGCTTTACGTTCTTTTTTTTTTTGCCTTATACTCTGCAATCTGCTTCAAAATCAAACATGGTTTCGGTGTTCTAAATGCAATGACCCGTAAATCGTATTGCCAAAAGCCTTTCGTGGAAATCGTATTTTCCCGGCCACCGCGAGAGTGACGAGCGCGCTAGGATGTCGAAAACAAAAGCCTCTGAAGGAAGTGATGGTGCATCTTTATCGGCATCTTTTTCCTACGCTCCTTTTTCGGAATCCCGCGAATATAGGGGATAAATCCTCTAGACATATTCACGATTTTTCGTGTAGTTCTTCGCATTGTGGGCATACTTCGAGCAACGTAGTTATCCAGCCAGCATGGATCGATGTCTCGGTCCTTTTCATCCTACTTTCCCCCTTCCCAGACAGTCTCGCAGATAGGCACTGCAATTTTCCGTTCTTTCACGGGAATTCCATCGTCCTGTCGAGGCATATAAATGATGCTATTATAAGCCATACCCGTTATCCCTCGACGTTGCTTCGAAAAATGCTTCTATCAGATACGCATAGAAGGATTTTTATTATTATAACTTGTTTACCAACGCAGAATATTGACCGAATTATCTCTAGCTAATCTAAAAATTTGAAATTTTTTTATTTTACAAAACTAATATACAGGTATATGAATGTTCTTTGTACATTTATCTTTCATCTTTACATTCGTAGGATCGTTTATCTTTACATTCGTTAAAGTATTAGTAAATGTTGACATCTCTTCAACTATAATATATTGTATATAGTCACAAATTTTTGCAAATCAATTAAAATAGACATCAATTTCATTTGAGTTTTCAGAGAAAGCTTACTCACGTCAGCATTATCATTGTCTTACACGTTGTATTCTCCGGCGATGCTTGCTGCTCGAATTTCTGATTATTCCTTCGCTGCATGGTGGTAGACATTGTCTGGTGGAGTAATCCTCAAGGATATATATTCTAACTATGAGTTAACGCGTTAACGCGTTATACAGCCTCCCTTGAGAAACATAAGTACGAACTCACGTACTGAAGTTATTGTGACGCGAATAGTTGGAGCGAATATCGAAGTTTATAGAAATTTATACTGTCATCAACGGTATTATTACGGAAATTAATTATCGCGATAATATGACTTATCGCGAAATTAGACTAAATGTCGCGTAATATGATTTATCTTAATAGCTAGTACAAACAGCTAATTCAGAAAGGATTAGTATTAATGTAATATACATTCGGTTAGGAAAGGATTAGTATTAATGTAATATACATTTTACAAAGTACGGTCTCTTATCGTACGGTAATGTTTTGTAGCTTACACGTAAAAGCATTACAAGAAATTATTTAGTAGAACACAAGAACTGGAATATGCAAAAAGAAATATTTTAAGCAAAAGAAATATTAAAGATATTTTATAAATATTTAATTAAAAAAAGTAAATATTCTCTTTTTGAATAATTTTATCTTAAACCATTTATAAAATTCTAATAATATATGACACATTTTGCTTGAAATAATTTCTTTTAATGTGTACACTTTACAATTCTCGTGATATTCAATCAGAATTATATCTGTATAAATGAAGTAGCAGTTAAAATAAAAGTTATTTTTAATTTTGTAATTTGACTATTTTTACATTACAAAATATTAATTTCATTTTTTTATTTTATTTTTTTTATTTTATTACGTATTTGAATTGTACAAAAATTTAAAAGAAATAATCTTATAAAAATAAATTATAATAAAGTTTATTACAAGTATATATAGTCATTGAGTACATACATTGATATAAATTATAAATAAAAAAAATAAATATAAAATTTTACGTAAATTGTTTCCTTGTATATATATTTTTACTATCGTTTAAAATTTTGAATATTTTTTTTGATTTGATAATAAAAGAAACCATGTATGTTCAAAAAATAGAAAAAAAAAACAATTTAGGTTTATACAAAATCTCTCTAAACTTTTTTTCTTTTTTTTTTTTTTTAATGAATGAAATATTTGAGTGGTAATTATTTTTCTCTTTCTTTTTTTACTACATGTACATGTATATGCACGTTTTTATATGGACAATATTGTATACCAAAAAAATATTTAAAATGACAGCTCTACAGAAAAGCAGAATAGATGATTATCATACATATTTGTCTCCAACATTTGTTACACATACCGAAAGAGCACCGGTTTATATTCTGTCTAAAACTTTTGAATGTATTTCGCGCATTAGTCATTTCCCATGAGAATCTTATGTCTGGCAGGCTAATCATGGGGTCGTGGCCTCCTGACGATGTACAGGATCAATCCCGATCTCCACATAAGACACTCGGTACCATACGCCGAGACGGCACGGAGAGGTGGTGCCCCGAAGACGCAGAACTATACTCCGGAGTTTCGGGGTGAAACGCGTGCGCGGGTGGTTTTAATCGGGGGCGGGGGTGCGGTCACGGGGACAGTATCGTCGCTCTTCAGTTGGGTTTGGTACGCGTCTCGCGTCTGGCCACTGCGCGCCTCTTCGCAGAAAGCGCCTTAGTTCTCTGTTTCCTACATCCCCGTCTGCCTCGATTCTTATCTCGTGAGTCGCGCGCAAAATACGCGACGTTAGAGAACTCTCTTCCGCACATTTTTTCCAAGGACTTCGCTGAAATTTTTCGCTTATCGATCACTTCGCCGGAGCGACGATTACGGATGCCACATACGTGTTCGCGAGCCGAGGAGTGTTTATTGGTTATTCTTTCTTGACATGGGTTTGGCGGACTGTCACATGACGAAGGGTGAGTCGGCTTGCTGGTGCAAAAATTATTAACTTGCATATATTAGGAAACGCACACGGAGATTATTCATGTCTCGTGGAAGAGACGACTAATGTGCGAATGGTTAAGTTGGCGCCGGGCGGTTGACGTAACCGAGTTAGGTGTATAGCGAGGAGACTGGCCTTGTGGTTCTGCGGAATGTGTAAAATAAATGAACGATGTGACTTGCGGTTTTACTTTGAGACGTCATCAGAGGCGGTTTCATTAATGAATGGCGAGAAGGTACCAATAATTTTAACTTACGCGTTATTAATTACGATCGTGAGGAAACAAGTTGGGAAATTAGTATATGTATATGTATTATTCGAAAATATTTATCAAAAATAATATTGTAACCTCGTGTTGCAGGCTTAAGACATCTATTTTTACTTCTATAAATCTTTAAAATATATATTATTAAACATCATAGGAAAAAAATTAATCGATCTATATGATGTTAAATTAAATTGTGCTAACTATATTTAACTAAATTTTGTTTTTATATACATTATGTACCTCAGGAAAAGGAACAAAAAAGTAAGATGTATATCAATTAATTGAATTCCTTTGCATTGTATATAATTATCAATTTGACAATTGAATTAATTTGAAAATGGAATAGGTATACATGTGAACAATTGAGCTTTAGTGCATTCAATTTTGCAAAGATTGCATAGAATCGATAAGTGATATGCAATCGAGATGCGGGTATATTTATAGTGGAACAATTCAAAGGCAATTCCAAAAGATCTTATTGATCGTGAAATTGTAAAAATATAATTTTAATAAAATATGCATATTAATTATTTTATATTACTGCACATTGCGTCCAAGGAGTTAATTATAAGGTAGAAAGCATTGAGTATTAAGAAATAATTTGTGTGCAAAATGAGAGAGACTCAAATAGAATAATTTTATAATTGATTAATTGAAATGAGAAGTATTTCTATAATGTTGTAGAATCTATATAAATTAATTGACTACTCGATTTTTCATTCTATTTGAAAAGTTCAACTGAATAGAAGTAATTTCCAGATATTATTATTACAAATTCTAGTGTCTAACGATGTTATATTAGTAAACAACTGAAGAAGTGTGAAAATAATAATAAAATTTCTTAAAATTTATTTAATATTAAAAGATTTTACAAAAATTTAAAATTAAATCTATAGAGTTTAAATATGTATTCCTCAGAGTACTTTACATACAATACTTGCTTAAATATTTTGTGCTTATTTTAGTTACAATCAATAACAACACAACACTGACAAATATTTATTTGCATATAATATTTCATAATATTTATTATTTTGTCTCTTGTATGCGCCTGTTTTTTCATATGTACAATGACGTTGCAAAAGAGCATGAAACAGAAGTATGCTTGAAAAGAATGGATGATGAGAGGTCATGCATCACTGACGAGAAAATAATAGTGCATACGAAGGTAGTGAGACGTTAATTACACCGTTTCGATAATCTCGTTCAAGTTACACTTGGCAGTGGGACGCAATCAAGTATTGATTCGCGTTTTATTTAATGCGAAACACTTGTGCGTACGACGTCGCACATTTCGAAAGGGAAGCATTCAGAAAGCGGCTTAATTAAATCGCGGAAATGTATAATTGTGAAATGTTACGAAGTCGATGCCAACTATGTTGACTTATTTTTCATGAAAAGAATAACAGTAAATTTGTATTATTTTACGCTCTATTTTCTTTTGGTGTACGGAAATCTCGTTAAATTTTAATAATTTTTTGCATTTTTGAAGTAGAAATTATTAATACTGAAGAAAAAAATATATATATAATATAAATAATATAGATAATATATATAGACACATTAAAAAATTAATATTTGAATTGCCTTGTATAAAAACAAGATAAATTTATAATCTGCATCAATATCATAAATTATTGTTTTGATTTTTGTTTTTTATCTTTACTATAGTAGTAACAGTTCATTGCCGTACTTTAATTTGTGTGTGTATGTGTTTGTATGCTTTTATTTTTAGAATAAGCTTATCATGGATACAGATATAAATTTTATGTAATCGGATTATTAATATCAGTTTTACGCACAATCCTATAATAATCGCTTTGGTGTCACTTATATACTTTTAGGATAAAAATGCTTTTGATATCTCTATATTATTGAAAAATCTTTTGTTCTGTTCTTCTTTCTCCATCTGTCTCTCTTTCTCTCTCTCTCTTTTCGCGATAATTACTGTTCTGACAAGGCTATTAATAGTTAATAATGATAAATGTATCCCTTATAATTGGCAGTTGTTTTCGGCGATTGCTATTTTATTACGTTGATCATTTGTGCAAGTAATTCGTACACTAATTCGAATATATAGGTAGACCAATGGAAAGCAAATGGATCTACCTCAGCACCATATTATCAAAAGTGAACAGTTTAATTCTTCATTTAGCACAGTCAAAGCGACTTTAATTGTACATTTTGTGGTCATAAGTCTGCAAGTTGCCACTCAGTTATATGGTTCGACATATCGTCTCTGACGATATTTACTTGTGACTCGCTAAACTTTCTAGATTAAACGTGAATGCGGTAAACGGGCGAGTGGGATTAATGTTCGTTCTTGTTAGTATCTATTATCGGTATTATTATCCTATCCGGCAATAATTTTGTTGATACATTATTGTGCATCCCGTTTTGTATTCACAAATTTCCGAATATGCTTTATTAATTATTCAAATATGTAATACTTATTAAATTATTGATTGCAACGGATAAGTTCGAATTGTGTCGTACACATTTTTTTAAAATTTGGTTGGCTTGAATTAGACAAACTTTTACGCTATTTATACATGATTTATTTCAATTTATTAAGTTAAATGTGTGGAGTTAACTTGGTCATAAAAATTTCAGCCGATAATTGCGTAATGCTTACACAGAAGATTTTATGTACTGTGCAGTAGCCGAATATTTATTATTAATGAGGGTGTAAATTGCCGGTCTAAGGACGTTTAAGCGACGAAAATTGTTAATTAACTCCAGCCACATACGCCGACGAACCCGAAGGACAAGGACAGGGCACAAAGTGCTTAAATAAATGAACCTCGGTGGCTGTCAGTTGATTGACCTAATGGTACGATGGCTCAATTTTAGGGTCCAAAATCGTAATCATAAGATATTCTCTGAAAAAAATCTAAAAATAATATATGTGCAAATACTCTGATTTAATTAATTTCTACACTTGTAAATTTTATGAAGTATAAATATTATATTCAATTCATGAAGTAACATAATTTTGCGAAACTCCTTTTCTACACATTATTGCTGTAATTTTTTTATTATGGTATATTAACAAATACATTTATTAATTATAAATCGGTTTTTTTAGTGATTGTTATTAAAATCTTGACATTTATTACTTTTGTAGTTAACCAAATGATTCTTTTGTATTTAGTTAAATAAATGATAATAGAGTGATTTAGAAAGTGAAAGTTGTTGTTCAAATTCTTGAAACTGAAAAACCGGTCATTTGCTATTGCCTGATGTTACTCGTATCGCTTTATATGTCGTCAATAATTAATAATCATGAAACTATATATACTGCACGAGTTAATGACGAAATGAAAGAGCCGTATAAGAGAATATCGAGGATTAAACGGGTCGTGCTGGTGAAACACGTTTACGAAATTATTTGCCATCGAACGAAGGCATGTTTGATTAATGAAATTGATTCTATTGCATTACAATGTAGCTTCGTTATTATGTTTCATCTTGTTTGTTCGTTATTCAGCCGGCGCCATAAATAATACTTATAAAATGTAGAATTATGCTTTGCTACGCATGCAAGTTTTTTATTCTTTAGAGATGTACAATACACCATGATAAACATATTTTTAAATAATGTTACGCTAGAATAATATAAAATATGTTGTGCAGATTATACATATCGATTTTATGGTTTTTTTTTACATTTTTGCAAATGAATGTATGCAAATACTGGCTTTCATTATTACAATGAGTTTTGATAAAAGATTTTGAAAATAAAATCCAAACGATCATCTAAACATCACTGACAGTTAAGCTTCAGTTAATTGTTTCTCAACACGTTTGTTTCATTAGTCCTTTTTGATTATCGTTATTTTATGGAATTGTGATACCTTTGTAACAATTAACAGAATTCATCAAGGAGCAAGTCACGTACGTAGTCGAGAGCTACTATTCAAGACAAAGGACGAAATGAATAAAGATACAATGAACACTGACAATCCTGATTACCTTTTCAGGACACTACTCTCGAGAATTATTTAGCTAGTGTTGGTGAACACGTTTCTTCTCGTCTGGAATTCTATTTCTTATCTGTTTTATATTTGATATCTTTTTAAAGTAAAATACTCAGATTCAATCGGAATAGATTCAATTCATAATATTTAGATTGATTTGAATATTTCAATATTTTTGTTAATGAAGTTAATTAGTTTACTAATCACAGTAAACTTGATAATTTTATGACAGAGAAAAAATTGGATCTAATTTTACATGACGTACATTTCAAAACCAGCTTGCTAATATAAGTTTTAATAACGTTACTAAAAAAAAGAAATTATGTATCGTGATCTATTAGAAAATAAAATTTACGTTGAAAAATAGTTAAAACGAGAGATCGTCGAAGAGTGGTTCTATGGCGCTATTTCTGTCGTAATAAATCACCTATCTTCGGCAACCACTGCGGTTAACGTTGTTAATTAATGATCCTCGTGTCGAGCGAAACACGTGACAGGCTGATACAAAGGGTAGAGATAAATTATCCTTGATTGTGCAATTTAGAAAAATAAATAGAAAATGGAAAGTGGAGAAAGAGAGAAGGAGAGAAATAGAGAGAGCTCATTTACGATTGATATTCGATATTTATTATATAAATAGTTGTCACTGATATTTATTTGTATCATCGCGACTGATAAATTATTTATTATGCAAAAGTATATATATGCATAAAGTGAAGTAAAATA